AAGCCGCTCGATCAGGTCCAGGCCACCTGCGGGAACAAGCCATGCCTCAGGTGCAGCAGCACCCACAATGACAGGCACGGCCAGCCAAGTATGCTGCCTTGTACCCCTCCATCGCTGGCCCTCCCTGCCTGACCTGGAAGAACAAGGCCAAGGGCTCGACCCCACAGTGCTCACCGTGAAGCTGGACATACTCCCCAATGTGATCTGCGGCCTCAGGAGAGAGGCCCTTCTCTCCTACCATCTCACTCCTCACTTCTTCCCATGGCATCTGCGAGGGGAGACAAGAGCATCCGTTGTCGCAGGATGTTCTCATCACCCACTGTCTCCGCCAGCCCACGTATTTACAACACGTGCAGGAAGACAGCAGTCAGCAATCTCACTAATGATCCGCGTCTCTCTCTCAGGAATTGTTAACAGAAATCACTGGAAACATCAGGCTTTATTCTTAACCACACCCAAGAGCTCCCCAAATCCTTTACAAATGCCAACGGCTTAGCTGCTGCGAACCTCTTCATGATGAGAGCAGCCACAACGCTGCCCAGTCTGAGACACCCACCCCCTGAGACTGGAAGCGACCTCCCCACAAGCACAACGCTTACCTTGTCCAGCTTGTCCACAGCAGAGCACGTAGTTATGAACTTGCTCTCTGGGATGCCGCAGACGGCAAACACGCCATTCAAAATCCGTCGGTCATTGACCTGGGGGTGGGAGAGGCACACTTAGCTCAGGGGAAATCCCCCCACCACCATTTCTTCTTTCCCCAGAGGTGCGGGAAGCTGCAGCTGTTGGCATCTCCTTGTGCCTTTTCACCAGCACCTCGATCCCACAGGAAGGGAAGGTGCAGAGGTATGAAAACCACACGGCTCTGATCTCACCTTAATGAGAAAGTCCCCAAGCTGCAGGTCACTCAGGATCTCATGCACGATCTTCAAGCACTCAGCATCGGGAATCATTGGGTCGAACCACCCAGCAATGTCAAAATCCTGGGGGCAGAAGAAGCGGCAGAAGCTCCTGACACAGCTGAGATGCTTCAGCTCCGCAAGGCACGCCACACAGCCCCACAGCTGAAGGCAATCCAGCTGGTAAAACCCACGCCACTCCCACACACAGTCTCGGCCCCTCATGTGGCAGCAGCCACCACAACACTCACGCACTGGTAGAACTCCCTGTAGCGGCCCCTGGTCGTGGCTGGGTTGTCTCGCCTGTAGACCTTAGCGATATGGTAGCGCTTCATGTTGGTGATCTTGTTCATCGCCAAATAGCGAGCGAAGGGCACCTGGGGGGCTGAGGAGTTAAGGACAGGAACGTAGAGATTCCCCTGAGCTGCAGAAAGCTAAACCTCAAAGCACCTTGTCTCCCTTTTGCTTTGCCAGCTGCTCCCAGTCCCTGGGGAGATCATCAGCCCAGGCTGACGATGAGTACAATGAACCACGCTGAGCTCCTCCAACGCTGGGACAACCCTGTCTCCTTTTTCTGAACCACAGTATGTTAACGCCTTGCAAACACAGACCTTTGCTAGGTCATTTCACCCTCTTAAGGTGCAGTCACAGAGAATTCAACATATAGCACAGATGTATAGACATTAACCAAGAGCTTTTTGGTGAGACGTGGAGGTGGAGAAGGCCCGGGATGGACACCTACTTTGTACCTGCAGCAAACACCGCTGCTCTCTCAGAACAACTGCTGAAGCACTGGGAAGGTGGGATAGGCAGGACAGGAACGCTCAGAGGTGGGGACTGTAAAACCAGGAGAAGGTAAAACCAGTACAGTGCAGCATACTGGTGCACGTCCACAGCCCACGGAAGGGCCACTTTCCTGCAGATCCTGGACTGGCTCTGGGGTCATCTGAGGTGGGGTCACACCAACGACTGCCCGACCAGCTGGGGTGCCCACCGCTCAGTGGGAAGGGGCTTCCATCACCCCAACAGGACCTGCAGGCAGGGCAGGGCAAGGGTGGCCCAACAAGGGGGCAGTGGCAGTCCTCCCCCCCCATCCCAGCCACAAGGTGGCCGGGGCGATAGCAGGATACGGTCAGGTCGTAGCGCAGGGCCAGCAGCTCCCCTCCTTGGTCCTGCAGCTCGTAGATGAGCTTCGCATCCTCCCCGTACTTCCCCATCAGCGTCTCCTGGGGAGAGGCAAGGCAGCTGGCAGGGCAGCGAAGGACCAGGGTGGCTCTGGGGTACAGGGTCCCCTGGGACGGGGGACAGGGCACAGAGCCTGGGCACCCCGAGCCCCCCAAGTCATGCAGAGAATCGGGTGGGGGAAGGGCATG